TGCGCCAGACCTTGAGCAGTCCGTAGACGCCCACGGGTATACTATAGGATAAGTATGTACGGGCTAGCGCTCAAAACGTCGTCCAACGGATGCTATGTGATAGTGCGACCGTCGTTTACGCTTCAAGTGGGACTGTTCATTGTCGTGCAGGTTCGGTTCAAGTATGCGCGCAGCACCAGCGCGTCACCGCCTCGTGTTTCACGGCTTTCGGCAATTCCCGCGCTGATGCGCGGACGTTGCAACTTGCAGCTCGCGATGGCTGCACCGTTGACATTCTTGTCCTCCCGCCCAACTTGCCATCTCACTGGGGAAACTACCTCGGTCATGCGCTCTTTGACGACAGACACGTAGGTCACATGGGCGACGTCTCGCTCATCCCCGAGGAAATGTGGCCACATCTACCGTCCCCACGGTGTGCCTTCGTCGTGCTCGACTGTCTGCGCCCCACGCTCTACACGAGCCATATCGACCCCGGTCAAGCCATAGAGACCGCACGAAAGATCAAGTTGGCCAGGCCGTGTCTGATTGGATTCGCTCATGAGATACCCCATGACGAGTACGCGCATATGGGGAAGACATTGGGCGCGGCGACGGTTGGACGGGCTGGTTTGAGGGATACGGAGAGGAAGTGCTTGGATCAAGCTGAGGACGAGAAGGTTTGGGTACAGCTCTCACACGACGATTGAAGGGTATCGGCCGGGGATGATGGGAAGGTCTGGGACGAGTCGGATGGTGCATAGAATGGGGTCTCGGTTGAATATAGTACAGGTCGTACCCTATTTTTGGTTACAAGTATAGATCTCGCAATGCTGTGTCGTACAATAAATCTTGATAGATTCCCGCTTGTCATATACTGCGTCTTTCCGAGCAGGAGCGGTCTTACATCAGTCCAAACGCCGTGGCCTGAGCTCGTGTTCGTCAGTACGCAATAGCTCGTAGTCTGTCCTCTTTCGACGGCGACGGACAAGAACCAGTAAGACAATTCCGACGAGCGCAAGGAACACGATACCCACTCCTCCGGCCAAGCGCACTTCAGGTTTGGCATGCAGTGGTAGCGGAGCAGTGTTCTCCCTCGAGGCGCCATCGAGAGGTTGTAATGGTAGCTCGACGTCAACGTCAGAGTTGGCCCATTCATCAAATGGCGCAGGCGGAGTTGGGGGCACTTCTGCAGGTGCAGGTCCCGGTAGTACACCAGGAACCTCCTCTCCGGCGTCCTTGTCCTTCACCTCTTCCTCGCCGACAATCTGCGCCCTCGTAAGCTCTGGCAACCCCAGTTCCCGTATCTCTTTCTTCCTGATCCTCTCAAACTCTTCCAAAGCCGTTTCCGGATCCGTTAGCGAAGCTAATTGAACGTAAGGTGCCTCTTCGGATGTGCTGGTGCCCGACGAAGAGCGACCGAAGTTGTACGAAGAGTACGTGTTCAGCAAGAATGAATCGCCCAGGAGCATGTCGATCCCGGCCTCCTGAAGGGTGGGACCTGCGGTCTGCAATGTGCCGGTGCAGTAGATCCCGCGCGGACTAGATGCTTTCCGCAACTTGGTCGCATCCAGAGGGTGGAGTGGTATAGCCTGGTTGCCAAACACGATGGACACTTGCACAGGTGTTGCGCATGGTATGACCCAATCGTGCGAGCCCTCCGATGTGAGACCTTCGGCGGAGTATGCACCGGATACAGCACCGTACACCGCATCCATCACCGCGCGAGGAACAGCGCTCAACGTCGTCCCCGTGTCCAAAAGCGCGACGTTCGTTCCGGCGGGCGCATCAGTGAATGCCGATGTCAACTTGATAACCTCCCCGTTCACGACTACACTCTCAGCAAGTACCGTCCAACGCGGTTGAGCCGAGTACTTCTCGCCCGAGGGTACGAAGCGAGGTAGACGCGGTAGCTGCGCGATTGTCTCACGACCGGCGATATAGTCGCCTACAGTCAGAAGACCATCTGCGCCGTGGCCAGTGGTCGAATCACGTCCAAGAAGGATGGTGAACATCTGCGGCAGTGAGGGGTTGGACGAGAGCAAGCTTTGCATCGCGTTGCTCGGTGATGCTGGGAAGCCAGCTTCAGCCAGTGCTCGATTGATGCCTGTAGACGGAGTCGTGAAGCCAAGACCGAAAATGCCCTCGCTTCCAAAGCGGAGGATCCCGGACATGTCTGTTGCCTGCGGACTCTACTTGAATAGAACTCTCACGGTAAGATAGGCAAGGTGGTACCTCGGTCACCTGGATGAAGGCTGGGCAGTCAGATTCAGCTCTCCGCAATACAAGGACACCAACTGCGGTGGGACGAACCTTGCTTGTCAGTAGATAACGAGCCCAGAGTCAACGGTGCATACGCTATGGTGCCATTGATTATCCCGGTGCCGTATATAACACTCGCGGGCGTCTCGGTGTACGAAACATCAGCGAAAGCTGCCTTGGGGATGATCCAAAGGTCAGAAGAGCCGGTGTCGACATCGACGTCGAACACGACGCCGCCAAGTGTTAGCTGCGTCGTGAACTATAGGTTATAATCAAGCTCAGTGTATACGCAGCAACAGCGTTGGGCATTGCGCGTACAAGAGCGCCTTCGGCTTGACTAGTAAGAATCGAGGAAGTGCCGCCATTTATCGGTAGTAAGTCTTCTTGAGCACGCAAACTGGCGCGTCTTCGCGTCAGGGTCAAGTCGACGCGAGTGGTACTGGCTCTTGTAGGAGAGAAGAAATTCGAGTACAGGAGGAGTCCAAGGTATAGACTGCGCCACATGGTGGTCAGTTGCAAGACCTGATGTTCGCTTGTCGACTTCGATACTTTCGGGCCGACATCCGCGCTGCTCGCCCTTACTCTCACTTGAACTGTATTGTCCGAATACAGAAGCAGCGTGTTCACGTTCTAGGCCTACAGCCATATTATTACATGCTCCAGAATAGAGGTACATGCTCAATGTCAGACATGCTCAATACAGCGGTGATACATGATTGTTCATGGTTTTAATAATTTACACCAGTCATGCCATATATCACTGTAAGCCCAGAAGGTCGTGAGATTCCGTCGGAAGGGAGCGAAATTCGCTTTTCGCGCGCCTTTCCAGGGATACAGAAGTTTCACGACACCAGGCGGGTCACTAGCTTACCCATTGACCGGTATCCCACCTCGAAGTCGCCAGCTAACTTCCTGAAATTCGGGCCCCGTCGACTGGGCGGCCTGCGTGCAGCGGAATGACGTCACCCTCGGCACCTGAGTCGGCATTCGCACACCAACACTCCTTGCTTCCCTCCACGACGACGGCGTTGATGCTGCAAACGCGGTCTGCCTCTCTAGATTGCTTGAATGTCTTAGCCTATGCTACTAGTAGCGCTGTGGCCATATCTCTGGTGTGGGCTGTTCGGGGCGAAATGGTGCGTGTGACATTCCGACCCGCGCGATCGGCTGTGTATTCTGACCATCGTTAACGTCGAAAGAAACCGTGACGGAGTGAGGGTATCTGATTCATGTGCTAGTGCGTGCCCTCAACTCTGTCTGCTCCCGAGGATGTATATTGACTAACCTCGCATAGGTCTTCGAGCCTATGTTGGACCCCTTCTTGGCACCCTCACATTCGGTGGTATCGGTATGTCGTATCATGGGTGTGGATGATGACCTCGGAGTGCTCACCCGCGCTTCCAGGCTGAGGGCAACTGTTTGCTTGCTGTGCAGTAGAGTGCTGAGGGTCGTAGCAACCGAAGCCCAGTTGCTCGCAGGCAGGTAGGATTCAGTGGAAAGGATGGTGAAACGAGTATTATACGATGTATTTCCATGTATGCCGTTTTCTGTAGCTTGATTCGTAGACTTGTAATGCACACATATCATCAATATCGCGAGCATAGAAGTAAAACTGTCGCCGCTGGGTGTGAC